GGCTGGCCCTGCAGCCTCTGGAAATCTGCCCTGGAGGCTTGATGCATTTCTGTGTTTCACCTGCCTTGTTGTACAGCTTCTCCCAGGTCAGAGGCCACCTGCGATGCCCTTTGTGTGTTTGACATTTTCACAGGTAGTAGTTCCAAGATAGAAACATAATTAACAATAATATGGGAACCCGAAGTCTCGGAGAGACTTGGAGTCTCGGAGGCCAAGGAAGTAGGGTGAAAACTAAATGCACCATACTTCTTGTGTAAAGGGGTTTAATACATTAATCAAGATTTTGTGTATAAGCTTTATTTCCTTATGCCCTTGGCACATTTAGCTTGATTAAGGTTATTAAGCCTATGTCGAACATACTCATGCCTCAGCAGATTTTTGCTTCTAGAAGTGTTCACTGGGTTAAGTGTTCTGTTAAAGTTTGCACACTTCCTTCTGTGCATCTCTTCATTTGCATCTTCCGTAGACTTTGGGCTCTAACACGCTGTACGAGCTTGTCCTAGTAAATGCTGCATTGCAACCTGAGCATGGCTGGGTAGTACAGAAATTGGTGTCTTTCTGCCTCATTCATTTTCTTACTCCATAATTCCTTTTCTGATCAGACATTTTTCTGTTATTTTCATGACTACTAAAACTCTCTTTGCAGACAAAAAATACCTACTGTTTCCATTCACCACCCTAGCAGCATTTCTGAAGGCTTATTAGCGTTGGCTGCTTCGGTGGGTAAGAGGAGTCAGTCCCCACCTCTGTTCAGCTCTGGCTCCAGGGCCCAGAGACCACCGCTAAGATTGCTGACCGTGATGGCAATTCCTGTGCCGCAGGCATTTGTGCAGTGGGGATTATATTGCGCCTTCCCATCCCCAAATTCTTGGAGGTCGTGTTCATCTCCTCCATTCTCACTGCAGATCTGGGGTAGGTTTGATGGCGACTCTTCAAGAGCAGTGGCTTCACTCAGCTTTGGCATGCGTGTGCTTTATATACTGCATGTGTACAACGCATGCGTGTGCTTTATATACTGCATGTTTTTCACACGCACCATCTCTCACCAGCTATACACTTTAGGAAAACATAAATTACACCCTTTTTATTTCTTTGCTGATTTGTCTTAAACCAGAGAGACTGTCTTACTGCGTTTTACCCTTCTTTTTAGTAATTTTTTAACTGATCTAAAAAAAGTCACTTCCACAGAATAATTGAACAGATTAATGGTGTGATCCCTGCGTAAAATGTGAACACGAACGGGGATCTTTTAATTCTTGCTTTCAGTGGGTGTCTGACCTTTCAGTTTTATATCTTTCTCTCTCTTCTTACCATATTGCAGTCAGAGAGGAAGTTAAACCCAGGTTTGACAGGTAGAGTTTTTTTATTTCCCTTGACAGCGCACCTTTTGACCTCTATCTTCTTGCCAATGATTTTTTAAATCCTAAATGATTTGGGAATAATTGCTCCTCCTTTAGTGATTATTGCCCTTCACCGATAGTAAATCTGTGAAATCCCTGGGGGCTGGAATACATTTTTGTATGCGTATGCCACAAGCTGGCCTGGACAGGCATCGCCGCTCATCCGCAGCCGCACTTGCGGAGCTGCCTGGTGTCTTGCAGGAAAACTTGCCTGGATGGGATAGAGTACAGCCCCAGCAAGCGCGTGAGGGCTCGGTGGGCTGCCCTGCTCTGCCCTTTCCCATTTTTCAGAGGAAATTCATGTTTAGGGTTTTGAGAAGCCAGGACTGAAATTATCTTTACTTCTGAAACCTCATCCTAAATGTCTGGGTTCGGGCTGAGCAAAGGGCGTGCGAGTGGCAGAAGGCAGGTCTGGTCCTGGGGTCCCCCCTGTGGACTCTCCAGGGTCCCCCCCAGCCCTTCCCTGTCCCCCTTGGGGTGGAGTTGGAAGGAATTTTTTACGAAGAGGAGATTAGAAGCTATTAACGCCGGTGGTTGAGAATGATTGAATATCTCAAAGCAGCGTGGGGGGAAATTGGTAGTGGTGGTTGGCTGGGAGTGGTGTTGCCAGGTTCTTTGCAATGGTGGGATTACTCTCTTATCCTCATCTGTGTATACATGCTTGGTTTACTAATTACTTAAAATTAAGCCATCATTTTCTCCCCATTTCATGCTGGGTTGCTTGTTTGGAGAAGTGGTAAGGAAAGGTGAACTGTCTTTAAGGGAAGGCATCACATTAAGGAACACGCATGTTTCCATGAGCAGAGAGGATAAGGAAAATGGTCCAGTTGGAAAATGGTTCCAAAGGATGCAAAAGACCGAGCCCTCCATCATCTGGTGGCTTTGAAGCAGTTTGTGAGCAGATTGCTGGAAACACTACCTGTCCCAAAGCCTGCAGCTGCTGCTCCTTCCCAATGAGCATGTTCTCCCCAGCTCTGACACTTTTGCCACAAGTCCTTAAGTCTCTCTGCTCTTTAAAGGGGCTCTCAAAGCCCGGCCACAGCTGTGGCTCTCCTAGGCAGGATGGACCAAGGGTGCGCATTTATAAACTGTTTCAAAATAAACAACTTCAGTGGGGAACCAGACAAATGAGCCTTGACTTGAGGGAGCACCCCATCACCTGAGGGATGATGATGGTCCCTCATGTGAACAGTGTTTTAACAAGGAAGATAGACTGGGCTGGTACCTACTGTATATGTAATCTTGCACACTGCACCTGATGCGTTGTTCAAAAGAGGATTTAGTTTTTATCGGCTGAAGCTGTTCCAGATACACGTGTTCGTAGCTCAGTTTGGTTCATGAGTGCTCTCAGAAAATCTTTTGAGCTGGGGCTTTTAGATACATCCTGAGATTTCCTTAACATACTATGTAATAAGTGGGAGAAGATTTTGTTGTAATTAGATGATTAATAAAAATAGCTCTGGAACTTTAGGAATTTTAGAATTCTTCAATACGTATGATTTAGTCCTGCCCAGCAGGCTGCTTAGAGTGGGAACTGAAGCGTGGGTGACACAGAAGATGAACTGCCTCTTGTATGGTTGCATGCTGTATAAAAAAAGAGATGCTTCCATGTGAAGGCAAAGGAAGAAGAGGATTTTATATTGGGCAGAACAGGTAACTGGAGTGGTGCCTGCAACACAGACTTTCTATATGTTTTTGTCCTTAAAGCTGCAGCCAGCTGTATGAAAAGACTCTCAGTAATGCAGCCACCATCTAAGGTAACCCTGGTCCCCTTCGTCAGCGTGTCTTTTAGCCTCCCCAGCCCCATAGGTGGGCCAAGGACCTGTCATAACCAACCCTAGAAAAAGCTCAAACCACACAAAAAAAGGGCAATTACACTTGTAATAATATAAGGGTAATTTCTTTGGATAAGAAAAGAAACACTTCGCATAGTGATTCCGTGTATCTGATGTGCAGATATAAAAATAATCAAAACTGCTTGGAAGGAAGGGGAATTCAGGCTGGAATTTCTAGAGCTGCAAGGTGCCATGGCTGTGAAAGCCTGGCGGTTACGTTTATGAAGCAGGAGGCTAAGTCAACGAGATGAACTAATTAGTGTATTTTAGATAAAATTCAACTTTGATACAGAAGGTGCAAAAGCACACTTTAAAATCGAATAGTTAAACTAGGTTACATATTTTCAGAGCTGGTGTGTTTCTTCAGTTTCAGGTGCTGCCTCCGTTCTCTTCAGAGTAATCCAGAATGCCTTTGGAAGGTTGAAAGCTGATTTTTTTGCTTATTAATTGCGGATTACCGTTTTGTTTGTATGCTGGTTTTTGTTGAAACTATAAAGTGAGCTCCCCCCAACCATTTTTAAATTTGAAGAAGAAAATAAATGTAATATTTTTTTAATGCAGGGTGATAACAAACACTTGAGATTTTGAAGATGGAGTTGTTAACAAGAAAGACCCCTTGGTTGATGCTCTTCAATTTAACAAAGATCTTCAACAAAGATAGGAACTCTGAAGTGAGCGTGCATGCTCCATGTTTTCATCAGACACTCAGACAAATCTTAGCGTAGCCAGAAGGTCTTTTCTCAGTTACTTTTTTTTTTTTTGTAATCTGCTCAATTGTGTTTATTAGTATTTTCATAGACTTTAGATGACTGTAACGCAAACTGTGCTAGGCCTGTACATATTATATCACATTGTGCAAAAATAAATAAGTTAGATTTTACAGTGATTTTCCAAATTTCTGTATCGACCTGGGTATGGGTCGGGATCAAGCTCTGCAAAGTTACACATCTCAGTGATCACAAGCTTAAGCTTTTTACTGGCTTTTAGAATACCAATTTTAAGGAAGTGTTTGAAAAGTTAAGCGTAATTGAAACTGCATAGAGCATGACATAAATGCATCATTAGGAACAGAATAAGACTAGCTCCATAAAATTCAACATTTTCTTTGAACTGTGCCAAATCACTTTGATTTTTGTGATTGATTACAAATTGGGCGGGTGTGTACTGCACTAGTACTTTGCTCGAGGAGCTATAGCATGAATTATATTCAAGGTAGGATGACTTTTAATCAATATGATGACAATATTATCTTGTTTAATTTGTCTGATGGCAGTATTAAGCATCAAATCAAGCTGTTTGTTATGTCAAAGGAGTGTGACGTATGGCAGAAATAAAATTCGCTCGACGCCAGTTTTTCTGTATTTCATTGCTTTGACAGGCCATCATGATTGGAGACGATATTGTGAATGATGTAGGAGGTGCCCAGCGGTGCGGTATGAGAGCTCTGCAAGTGCGGACAGGGAAGTACAGGTCAGTGCACACCCTACACTCTGCACTCCATGGGGGCGATCATGGAAAGAGGGGAAATAAATGTAAGTAATGATCTTTGTGTTTACCTCTCTGCCAAACAGCATTGTGCTCTAATTTCCTTACAAGACATTAATTTCTGAAAGAAAAGGAGTTGTGGTTTGAAACCTGGTACACATTGAAAGTGAAAGGGCAGAATTTTTTTTCCATGCCTTTTCCAGATCTTTTCCTGTTGGTGGCACAAATTTGTCATCGAGGTACACTTCCACTTGTTGTCTGAGAAAACACTTCCTTTTGCAGCATTTAGGCTTGGTTGGATGATGACATTCTCATTTGCAAAGCGCATTTTGGGAAAACACTGTGTGTATGAAAGTGACGGGAAGGGGAAGACATATTGTCTGTGATCTTTTAAAGAAATATTTTTTGTTAAATTACTGCTGTCATTTTTTCATCACAGTGCATAGAACTGGTGTGTTTCTTGGGTTTTGCTTATTTTATTTTTTTTTGCTGCTGTGTGGAAGTGTTGTACACTTGATACAAGATGTGTCTGAAACTCCTAGCAGGGTTAAGATTCTAAAATTAGACTGTCGACTCAGTGATCTCTGTGGGTCATATCTCACAGCTTTATGAAGGACTCCATATGTCTGCTATTTCCTCCAGACATGTATTCAGCACTGAGATGTCTGGAACATGTGAGCTGTTTCTCCGCTCCGTGTCTTATCAGAGTGTGGGCTTCTGCAGGCTCACTCACCTCTTTCAAATGACCCTTTAAGCCCTTCTCCATGCTGGTGTCTCCATGATCTTGTGCTTTCATTGCTCCAAGAGCTACCTCCCTGCAGCTGCTGATAGGAGACCTGAGTGCAGTTATAAGCAGGGCACGATCCAGGCTTGCCTGGTGGAAAATGAAGCCGTTGTCTGATGCTCAGGCCAGGTTAGGTTTGAAGTCAGCTCACGGTGACTCTCCAAATGCAGTGCAGACATTGGTCTCTACATTTAACATTTGGATTCCATAACACTCAAAATCTCCTCTTAACCATCTCCTCTTAACCATAACCATGGCTCTTTGTGATAGGCCTGGTTCAGCGACACCATCTGTCATTTGATGTAATTTATATTTTTACAGTTTTTCTTGATTTTCAAATACTGATACTGTAAAAGAAGGATGCTCTTTTTGGGAGGGATGCAGCAAGTGAGAATGGTACTTGCCATGGGCTATCTGAAAAGTTACTCTGTTAGTTTTCAAGTCAATCTGTTTCTCAATTTTCCTTTTAGTCTGTGTAAAGTGATAAAATAATACCCAGTGCCTTAATTCTAAAGGATAGTGAGTGATGATTTCTGAGGAAAAAAAAAAAAAAACACAAACGAATACAAGTATATTGTAGTTAGCTATTTTTGCATCTTTGACATAGTACCTCTCAAAATCAGTTATCTATCTAAATAAAGCTCAAAAAAATCCCAAAGATTAAAGTAAGTATATCATTTGTGCTGCTGGGATTATTTGTCTGTAATCTGTGTAATGCCAGTAATTTGCTAAAGGAGAAAATAAGAATTCACCGGTTGGTTTTATTCAGATAGTAAGAGGATCCCTTTGTGAATCCACATTTTAATGTCATAGATACGGGTGTCAGTGAAGGTGGTATCTCTACACACAGAGGTAAATTAGATCTTTGCTACGGAACAAATATCTCCTGTGACATACTTTGCCCATCATAAAATACGCCACAGGTGATGCTGCGTCCAAACTGTTCAGGCAACTGATATAAACACACACACATAAATATGTATAATCATATGCTGGAAAAACATCTTCTTGTATCAAGTTTGAGTAATGATTTCACAGCTGAAGGGGAGTCCTCAGCTGTTTTAGATGAGGAAAAAAGATTGTTTTCTACTGCTACGTTTCCTGTTTCAGTGTGTGGTTGCTGTTATCTGAAATCATAGACTATTGTATAGCAGTGAAATACAGATGAGTGTCTCTAAATTGAGCATGTGGTGCCAGGCCTGTTGTTAGCAATTGTGAGTAAAATGAAATGGCTCTTGTTTGCCAAGAAAGGCCAGAGATGTAGGTATTTTTGAGAATGACTGGTTTAGTACGCGTGGAAAATCAAAACACACAGTGAGTATTGAGAGAGATGGAAGAAAACCCAAGTGAATGAAAGCTGATGGGCAAGATAAATTAAAAGTAACTGAAGATGTAATTATTTCATGGTGGCTTTAGTTTAAAGTCTGACACATAAGATTATGCATAGATCCTCTCACTTTCATGGTAGTTCTTGCTGACACAGAGCTGTGTGCTACACCCAAGTACCTCTGGATGGCACCGTTAGTACATTCACTACAGTATCAGCCACAGCTTCGGGACCTGCCCTGAAAGCTAAGGCTATTTTTGCAAAGTTGAGTGGAAAGCACAAAGGCGTCAGGGTTTTGTTGTAGATGCTGAGTGTTGGTGCCGTGGGATTTCCACAGATTTCAGTTATGAGAGTCTTGACGCTCGCGACATGAGTGATCGCCCCAGTTGAGTTGTCTGTGTGTTTCTACAACCGTGAGTTGTTTTTTTCCATTTCCACCACAGCAATGATGCCTCACTTCACCAAAACGAATGCAGAGCTGATTTGAGAATAAAGTAAAAAATAACAGAGGAACTATCCTGTGGAATTGTTGCAGGTGCCTTTCACAGCATGCCACTGGATACATGGAAATGACATTATTTGCACAAGATATCCCAGTGAAGGCATTTTGCATGTAGTTCTGAAATCCAAAGCATCCTGTTGTACCCCTCCATCCCCACCTAAATGCTGTCCCCAGCTGGTAGACATTGTCACCTCCGGTGCACGAGTGTGCGTCGGGGTAGCTCTCCTTATTTCAGGGGTCGATGCAGTTTACGTTAACATCTTTGAGGTCTGCTGCCCACCAAGTGCCACCAAGGGTTATGCACAAAAGGTGACACATGAGCCAAAGCTTACTGTGCTGTTTATTGTATTTCAAAGGGACTTCAGCGATTGTGTGTGGACTGCAGGCTGCAAAGCAACTTGGTGCATCTTACTTGCTTTAATAAGCTAAAAGAAAAAGTCCCTTTGGCCCTGAAAGCCTTTTATGGAAAGAATCGGTTGATCTGCCGATCTGGAGGTTTCAGCAGTAGATAGGGGTGGACAGGTCTTCTGTGGGGCGGGCGGCCTCCAGCCGGGTACAGGAAGCTGACTTCAGCCTGCAGCCTTGCGGGAGCCTTTCTCCGTGGTGGTGTTTGTGCCGTGTTGCTCAGTGACGGCGGTGAAGGCTGCCAGCTCCCCGCTGAACTGAGGAACTGGTTTTGTGAAGGCAGGGTGGGGGTGGTTGGCTTTGCAGGCAAGTCGAGGAGGTCCAGAGGAGAAGCAGAAGGGGTTCGCGTGGAGCCCTGGGGCTTCCTCCCTCCCTGAGCTCTCACCCTCCTGGCCTCTGCAAGGTCCTCTTCAGTGTTGGCTGCTCCCAGGGTGAGATTCAAAGCGTGGATTAAGCTGCTGCAAAAACATTCAGTTTTGCACCACCTTGCATGGAGATCTTGAAAATTAACTCCTTTGTCTCACTTCTTTTGGTTCTTTAAAGTTTAGTAAAATTTGCGCAACCAATTGCCTTCAGTGTGATAAGCTTTGTATGTTCCTCACACCTGCATCTATACTTATCTTCTCCTGTAAAGTACTTAATCCTCAAGTATGATTTAATCTCAAGTGTTGAGCTCTTTCTCAGTAGCCAAACCAGGCACAGCATAGATTAGTCCGGGAAATGCAGTAAATCCTAGCTGCAAAGTAAAATTTCTGTTGGCGCAAGTCAGGGCAATAATGGAAAGGTATAGGGATAAGATGGTTTCTTGAGTTGACCTCAGCCGGCATGTTTCTCCAGCATGGGGCGAGTAGTTCAGCGGGCCAAGTATAGCCTTTCTTTGGTGTAAAATCCAAATGCAGAGGGTCGATCTGGTCTATGGGTTTGTCCACTCTGTTTGTCCTTTCTACAGCACAGGTCGGGTCACTGCTGCAGACTCTTGTGTGCCAAGAGAAGAAGCTGGTGTTAGGTTTTTTAGCATTGGGAAATCTGATACTAATTACGAAGTTTCTGTGCACACCTGCGTGGAGGCTTTTCATAGCCAACATCTTTCCCATCTAGGGAAGAACATGTACTTGTCTTCCTGCACAGGGTATGTGCTAATTCCACTTGCAGCTAATTGGCTTTGACATCAAACCAATAATTTCCACAATAACTATTGATTCTGCAATGCTGCGTAATATCCTTGTTCCTCTTTGTAGCATGCAGGTTAAAGCAGAGAAAAATTACTTTGAGGCTTGTCCAACTGTCTCCCTGTAAAATTGGAAACAGCTTTCAGGTGCGTCAGTGTGTCAAATTGCAGGTGGTTCTTGGCAGGACAGGAGAATTACCTACCCCTTTCTCCTCATTGTTATTTACAGGTCTTGATTTGTAAGTGCAGAGCTTTCCATCGCTAATGAGCGGCAGTAGCCAGGAGTATTCATGGCAGTGGTACCTGCTGCCTCTGCTCGTCTGTGGGCTCTGAAATGGTTTCAGAGTCTGGCAGCATGGGTTCATCCCCTCTCAGCGCCTACATGAGGTTTTCTTTGTTTGATTAGGGATTTATGTCATGGCCATGGCTGATACTGCAGCATCCCTGAGCTCCCTTGTTACGGACATAAAGGATAGCCCAGGGATGGTGGAGAAAAGGATGGAAGCCCATGAGAGCTGCTGTCCCTCTCCAGCTCTGCCACTGTTCTCCAGGAGAACTGGGTCAAGTTACTTCATGTTGCCGCTCTTCGGTTTCCCCACTTTATAATTATCCTCTGAGAATAATTATCCTGACTTCCTTAATAAAGTGACTTGTGATCTGTTTCTCCTATCTGATTGAAGAAAACATACAGAATTTGTACAGATTTGTAGGAAATCGGCTTGCCAGGAGAAAAATCCAGACGTGATCAAGACAAAAGTTATGACAGAGGAAAAGTCTTTTAGGCTGCCATCATCACCTG